AAGCTCGAAAAAAAAGGTTTCACTGTTTAGCCAATTTAACCTTTTTACACCATTTTAATGCACTAAAACTAATTCAGATAAAAAAAACTACTTTCGCTATTACCTTATCAGTATATTTTCATTGTCATGGTAGTAATACAATTAATAAAAACCTAACATTATATTTTACTCTTACATTTATCTATGATTCATCCTTTGAGATATATGACACAAACCATTCAGTTATAGTTAAATTTATTATTCAGTTTAAATGTTTATATTTAAATACGTACACGACCTATAAAAGCTCTCTTTTGCGAGTATCCTATATATATATATATATATATTTTATTTTGAATACCGACTATTCTAGGCTTAATTCATTAAAGATGTACCGCTCCTCCAATTTTTTTAATTTTTTTTTTCTGAACTCTTTCTTATGTTTAGTTGAATCAATTATGTTCCGAGTATTTTGTTAAGGTATATACCGACTAGTTATTGAATTATCGTTCGTATATATATATATATATATACGTGTGTACATAAACATCGAAAGCAATACAAAAAAATGTTCCCTCTCTTTTAAGCCACGTGTTTAGGTTTACAGAGAGCAGAAGAAAAATGGATTACTCACCAATAGGATTTCATAAATAATCAGATGCAAAAATGGTGCGCTAGTGTGGCTCACAATATATATTTTGAAGTTCCGTGCATGAGAGGGAGAAGAGTATGGTGAATTATTAACCATAGGCATTTCAATGAATAGCAAGTTGTGCTCTAATGAATATAATTTGCTCCTTTAAAATACGTGTGGAGAATAACTGGGAGTTTGCTGTGGAAATTGCTTAGACTTAAACATGTAGATAGTTTACTTACAAAAAGACATTTATTTTTTACCATTCAAGAAAATGTGGAGATAAATTATCGTGTTTGTGTATCGACCTTAAAAAGGTATGTAATAAATACTTTTAGAAGCATGAAACGAATTACGAGTTCGAAGAACGTGTTGCAGTTATGTCTTCACCTATCAAGCAGATTAGCTTGCAGCTAAGTAATACAGAAATCAATAAATGGAAAATAACATGTTACTTCA